AGCTGACTCCGTGGCCTGCCTGAACTAACACAGGCTCCATTTTCTTCCCCCAGGCTGTCAGACACTGTGACAGTGAAATAACCCTGAACCCAACACACTGTGAATGTACATACCATAATTTAAATTCATTTTAGTGTCTGTAACTTCATCATGTAAATACTGTGATATTGTTTTAGAATCCATGCATACCTTTAATGTCAAAACTCTACCTCATGGTAATGAATCATCTGACATATTTATTATCATGTTATCTCAGCATGTTTGCACTAACGTCTCATTGAGACTTGCTCATTTTGATCTGTGCTTATTGTGTGTTTCATGATGATATTTAATGTTCTGCTTTTGTACATCGAGAGCTGAAGTCTAATTCCTCGTGTGTCTAAGAATACCTGACCAATAAATCTGGTTCTGAACTGAACTAGACTGAAGCAGTGACCTGTGACGAGGTCGATCAGGTGTGATGAGCTCCTCGGGAATTTAACACCCTGCTGAGGATGGGGTCCCTCCCTCTTTATAACACACTGTGTGCTATGAGTGGTGAGGCCAGCCAGGAAAATACGTTTGTGTTTGATGGAGAGCTCTAAGTTAAAGGTGTCATTAAGCAGGAGAGTATTCTGTGAGAAAGGAATGGATAAGATGTTACAAACTTTCCTCCAGAAATCTGCAAACTCCCAAACCATATGAAGAAACGTGCCCATAGTGTTATTAGGGCATAAACTACAGTTAGGAGATGGTAGGGCTTTCATTTTATGTAGAGTACGAGGAGTATAGTAATGTGGTGATTAAAGTGAATAACTTGGTGGTTTGGGTTTATGGAGGGAAGAAGAGTGCTTTGTCAGATTAAAGGCCAATTAGGCTTGTCTTCAGTAAGTGGTATGTCCCTCTTTTATGCACTATGAATGGATAAAGATTTTTTTTTTTTTAAATTGTATCTTTATTTGGATCGGACAGGTAGATACAACAACATAACAACATTAGTAAAAATAGAAACAAATGTCCTTCCAGTTTTGTTTGTTTTGAGTCCGGAAAAGGCGCAACACCAGCCATCCAGGAATACGAGTCCAAAGAAAGTAAAGTCATAGATCGTGGATCAAATTTCATTCGTCCTTTGTAGTGTCCACTCTCCCCTAATAACTTAAATTTAACAGAAATTGTGATAAAATAGTATCAGTGGGTACACATTAACCTCTTAAGGACAGTACTGACAATTTGCCCGGGATAAACAGACCCAAATGAGGCTCACATGTTCACTTAAAGAGAACTCTGATACAACTTAATTAAAGGTAGAACAGTTTACATGAAACTATGAACATAAACCAGGGTGGTCATCTGCTGCTGTTGTCATAGAAATAATCATCAATAACCAGTCAGAAAATAAATAGTTAAATTACAAAACAATATTTTTCAGCAAACTGGCATAGAAGGATGAGACGATGCCATTGGCTTTGGTCAGTACTGCAGGGTACTACTCCCAGAGTATGCCATAAGTGCGCTGTGGCCAGCTGCAGGTAGAAAAAAAATAGAAGTTCCAGGTAAATTAAAAAGCTTCTGAATGTCTTGGAATGAGCTAAGGCCCCCTACTCCAGAAATATCATCAAGAGTGTGTACACCCTTATTACTCCATGCGGAGAATGAGATTGGTCGCCCTCCTATTTGTAGGCCATAGTTATGAAATATGGGTGAATGAAGAAGCCAGTTTGATGTACATTTGCACAACTTATTTGCCTGTTGCCAGGCAGAAATCAGCTCAGTGATGATGCAGCCAAACATAGTTTTGGATTGTTTGGGAGGAATATTGGAATAAATTACATCTTGTAGCCTGTGAACAATGTTTTGTTCAATTGGGCGCCAGCAAACCATGGCAGTAGGATCCAACCATTAAGAGAGAGGGCGCAACATGTATGACCAGTAATACCATACAATACCAAATTCTGGACTCCCAGTCCGCCTTCGCTTTTTGCTCTCTGGAGAGTTTTTTTCCCCACAAATTGTAAAATAGCTGATTGTAGTTCTTTCCAATAGCCACTAGGTGGTGGCAGAGGAAGCATAGAGCTGAAAAAATGTATGCGTGGGAGAACGTTCATTTTGATGACTGAGATGCAAGAATGGAATGAGAGGGGTGAGTTGTTCTAGGTCGGTCCTAACCTCTACAAGCACTTTTTGTAATTAAGAGACATTAAGTAACTGAGGGCTGTTACGTTCCCCAAGATGACTAGGGTATAAGGGGAGTAACAATAAATTATAACCCAGGGAAAAGAAATAGGAACTAAATATAAGCAAAGTTAAAATGGATTCATTAACAAACTAAAACAAAACGCGCAACACAAAACAAGCTTCTTCTATAAAACACCAAACAAAAGAGTAAACAATCTATCTCAAACACAAAAACTAACAATCAAGTAATAAATAAAAAGCCCTTTATCAGAACACAATCCTTCCACAGAAGGCTCACACTTAAGTAGTCAAAGACACATGCAGTCCAACAACCCACTGGTACTGGCATCCTCCTCTCTCCTGCGCTTTATAGTTTGCCCCTGATTAGTAATTAGCCACAGGTGTGGCTGGGCACTCGAGGCTGAGGAGCAACACCTGGGGAGCACACACAGGCGAGAGAAAACACACACAAAACTACGACATGTAACAGGGGCTGATAATGACCCTCAAATATTTGAAGTTCTGAACCACTGGGATGTTAGATGGGGTAGCCACTAATCCTGCAAGTGTATTCAGAGGGAGTAGTGCTGATTTCCCCCAATTAATTTAGTATCCAGAGATCTGGCTGAAGTTATTAAAGATATTTAAGAGGTGGGGAAGAGACTGTGGGATATTTTGAGCAAAGAGTAATATGTCATCTGCATACAGAGAAATGTAATGCTTGGTATCATGAATAAAAATAGATTCATGGGGAATGGATAGCCGAATGGCCTGGGCTACGGGTTCCAGAGATAAGACAAAAAGCAGAGGACACCTAGTCCTAACACCGTGTCCTAACACCTTGTCCTAGCACCGTGTCCTAACACCTTGTCCTAACTCCGTGTCCTAACACCTTGTCCTAACTCCGTATCCTAACACCTAGTCCTAACACATGTCCTTACACCTTGTCCTAACTCCGTGTCCTAACACCTAGTCCTAACACCGTGTCCTAACACCTTGTCCTAACTCCGTGTCCTAACACCTTGTCCTAACACCGTGTCCTAACACCTTGTCCTAACTCCGTGTCCTAACACCTAGTCCTAACACCGTGTCCTAACACCTTGTCCTAACTCCGTGTCCTAACACCTTGTCCTAACACCGTGTCCTAACACCTTGTCCTAACTCCGTGTCCTAACACCTAGTCCTAACACCGTGTCCTAACACCTTGTCCTAACTCCGTGTCCTAACACCTAGTCCTAACACCTTGTCCTAACACCTAGTCCTAACACCTAGTCCTAACTCCGTGTCCTAACACCTAGTCCTAACACCGTGTCCTAACACCTTGTCCTAACTCCGTGTCCTAACACCTAGTCCTAACACCGTGTCCTAACACCTTGTCCTAACTCCGTGTCCTAACACCTAGTCCTAACACCGTGTCCTAACACCTTGTCCTAACTCCGTGTCCTAACACCTAGTCCTAACACCGTGTCCTAACACCTAGTCCTAACACCTTGTCCTAACACCGTGTCCTAACACCGTGTCCTAACTCCGTGTCCTAACACCTAGTCCTAACACCGTGTCCTAACACCGTGTCCTAACACCGTGTCCTAACACCTTGTCCTAACACCTTGTCCTAACACCTAGTCCTAACACCTTGTCCTAACACCGTGTCCTTACACCTAGTCCTAACAACTAGTCCTAACACCTTGTCCTAACACCGTGTCCTAACACCTTGTCCTAACTCCGTGTCCTAACACCTAGTCCTAACACCGTGTCCTAACACCTTGTCCTAACTCCGTGTCCTAACACCTAGTCCTAACACCGTGTCCTAACACCTTGTCCTAACTCCGTGTCCTAACACCTAGTCCTAACTCCGTGTCCTAACACCTAGTCCTAACACCTTGTCCTAACACCGTGTCCTAACACCGTGTCCTAACTCTGTGTCCTAACACCTAGTCCTAACTCCGTGTCCTAACACCTAGTCCTAACACCGTGTCCTAACACCTTGTCCTAACTCCGTGTCCTAACACCTAGTCCTAACACCGTGTCCTAACACCTTGTCCTAACACCTTGTCCTAACACCTTGTCTTAACACCTTGTCCTAACACCTTGTCCTTGTCCTAACACCTTGTCTTAACACCTTGTCCTAGCACCTTGTCCTAACACCCTGTTTCTAGTTTCCTTTCTGTTGCTGGCTTAGACATGAGCGAGTAAGAAGGGCGCTGGAAAAGGCCCCGGGAGTGTCCTCCAGAAGACTTTACTTTATCATTTGTTTTTCTCACTCAGCAGAACTCATAGATTTATGAAGTGGCGATGATGGTGTATTCATTAAATCCAGATCTGTGACTGAAATGTTTTAGTTTGATTTGTTTCAACACGGAGGAAAAACTTTATTCTGCTCACCGACATCAGCGGCTCGTCAAAAAGCATCACACTTCTGTATGAACACTTTCAAAATAAAAGTGATAAATGTCCTACTGTTTACAAGGAGAAACTGAAATCACAGGGCAGAAGATTAAATATTCAGTGGATTCAGTGTGGACACACACACACACACACACACACACACACACACACACACACACACACACACACACACACACACACACACACACACACACAGCTAGCAGTTGGAAACAGTGGAACATCAGACTCCCACTGTTGACAGGGGTGATTTACAAGCACATACACAGCCCTGTGTGCAACTTATACCTCTCTCTCTCCCTCCCTCTCTCTCTCTCTCTCTCTCTCTCTCTCTCTCTCCCTCCTCTCTCTCTCTCTCTCTCTCTCTCTCTCTCTCTCTGGGGTTACTGGGGAGTACTGGGGTTCCCTCACACTCACTGGGAGTCAGAGGAGAAGACGAGGAAGCAGCGTAGGAATCTATTTTTATTAGCTGATTATCTATTTAATCCTGAGGCGGCTGGTTCAGAGAGAGAGAGAGATCAGAGTGCACACACACACACACACACACACACACACACACACACACACACACCTGCAGACTAAACACAAATACCTGTAGAGAAGAACGTGCAAACAGTCATCATGTTCAGCTACGGACGGAAAAACTTCACTTGGAACGGGACTCTGAGAGAGCTGGAGGGCAGCTGCACTGCCTTCTGCACAGGTAGGGACATGGTGTGTGTGAGTGTGTGTGTGTGTGTGTGTGTGTGTGAGAAAGAGAGAGAGACAGAGAGCTGCTGTTGTTTTCCATGTATAGATGGATGGTGTGTTTTATGTCAGAAAGAGAGCTGCAGATTCATCAGGGCAGAGCAGCACTCAGAACAAGAAAATGTTTCATGTGTTATCATGTTTCAGGTGTTAGCATGTTTCAGGTGTTAGCATGTTTCAGGTGTTATCATGTTTCAGGTGTTAGCATGTTTCAGGTGTTAGCATGTTTCAGGTGTTAGCATGTTTCATGTGTTATCATGTTTCAGGTGTTATCATGTTTCAGGTGTTATCATGTTTCAGGTGTTAGCATGTTTCAGGTGTTAGCATGTTTCAGGTGTTAGCTCGTTTCAGGTGTTATCATGTTTCAGGTGTTAGCATGTTTCAGGTGTTAGCTCGTTTCAGGTGTTAGCTTGTTTCAGGTGTTAGCATGTTTCAGGTGTTATCATGTTTCAGGTGTTATCATGTTTCAGGTGTTAGCATGTTTCAGGTGTTAGCATGTTTCAGGTGTTAGCTCGTTTCAGGTGTTATCATGTTTCAGGTGTTAGCATGTTTCAGGTGTTAGCATGTTTCAGGTGTTAGCTCGTTTCAGGTGTTATCATGTTTCAGGTGTTAGCTTGTTTCAGGTGTTAGCATGTTTCAGGTGTTAGCTCGTTTCAGGTGTTATCATGTTTCAGGTGTTAGCTTGTTTCAGGTGTTAGCTTGTTTCAGGTGTTAGCATGTTTCATGTGTTAGCTTGTTTCAGGTGTTAGCATGTTTCAGGTGTTAGCTCGTTTCAGGTGTTATCATGTTTCAGGTGTTAGCATGTTTCAGGTGTTAGCTCGTTTCAGGTGTTAGCATGTTTCATGTGTTAGCATGTTTCAGGTGTTATCATGTTTCAGGTGTTAGCATGTTTCAGGTGTTATCATGTTTCAGGTGTTAGCATGTTTCAGGTGTTAGCATGTTTCAGGTGTTAGCATGTTTCAGGTGTTAGCTCGTTTCAGGTGTCATCATGTTTCAGGTGTTAGCATGTTTCAGGTGTTAGCTCGTTTCAGGTGTTATCATGTTTCAGGTGTTAGCATGTTTCAGGTGTTAGCTCGTTTCAGGTGTTATCATGTTTCAGGTGTTAGCTCGTTTCAGGTGTTATCATGTTTCAGGTGTTAGCATGTTTCAGGTGTTAGCTCGTTTCAGGTGTTAGCATGTTTCATGTGTTATCATGTTTCAGGTGTTAGCATGTTTCAGGTGTTAGCTCGTTTCAGGTGTTAGCTTGTTTCAGGTGTTAGCTTGTTTCAGGTGTTAGCTCGTTTCAGGTGTTAGCATGTTTCATGTGTTAGCTTGTTTCAGGTGTTATCATGTTTCAGGTGTTAGCTTGTTTCAGGTGTTAGCTTGTTTCAGGTGTTAGCTTGTTTCAGGTGTTAGCATGTTTCATGTGTTAGCTTGTTTCAGGTGTTAGCATGTTTCATGTGTTAGCTTGTTTCAGGTGTTAGCTTGTTTCAGGTGTTAGCATGTTTCATGTGTTAGCTTGTTTCAGGTGTTAGCTTGTTTCAGGTGTTAGCATGTTTCATGTGTTAGCTTGTTTCAGGTGTTAGCATGTTTCATGTGTTAGCTTGTTTCAGGTGTTAGCTTGTTTCAGGTGTTAGCATGTTTCATGTGTTAGCTTGTTTCAGGTGTTAGCATGTTTCATGTGTTAGCTTGTTTCAGGTGTTAGCTTGTTTCAGGTGTTAGCATGTTTCAGGTGTTAGCATGTTTCATGTGTTAGCATGTTTCAGGTGTTAGCATGTTTCAGGTGTTAGCATGTTTCAGGTGTTAGCTTGTTTCAGGTGTTAGCATGTTTCAGGTGTTAGCATGTTTCATGTGTTAGCTTGTTTCAGGTGTTAGCATGTTTCAGGTGTTAGCATGTTTCAGGTGTTAGCATGTTTCAGCTCCATCCTTTCTAAGTATTTAAACTAAACGACGAGTCTCATCGATGATTCTACAACTCTCTTAGCAGACTCTTTTCTCCAAAGCGACGTACATCAGAGAGTAAGAACAACACAAGCAAGGATCTAGAAAAAAGGGAACAATGTCAGTAAGAGCAAACGATCAGCTTTGAGTCTGATTGGACACACAGGTGCTGACAGGAAGTGACCAGAGGCAAAGCACAACATTGAGGGCAGTTCTTGAGAGCTCTAATCAGTATAGAAACCATCTTATAAGTCGTCGTTATCAAACAAAAACCATCGTCATTACCATCATCATCATCAATAATATGGAGACCATCATCATTAAGTTAGTAGGTATTCATGAAAGAGCTGGGTCTTTAGCTTTTTCTTAAAGGTGCAGAGGGACTCTGCAGATCACATGGAGTTTGGAAGTTCATTCCACCACCGGGGGGCGACAGAGGAGAAGAGTTTAGTCAGAGACTTAGGACCCTGTTGTGAAGGTTGGATCAGACACCTTTCATTGGCAGAGCGTAGTGGGGGGGGGGAGTGTAGACCTGGATCAGAGAGTTAAAGTAAGGAGGAGACGTTTTTGTCACTGTTTTGTAAGCGAGCAGCAGAGTTTTAAATTTGATGCGAGCAGTAACTGGGAGCCAGTGTGAGGAGATGAACAGAGGAGTGACATGTGCTCTTTTAGGAAGGTTGAAGACCAGTCGTGCTGCTGCATTTTGTATCATCTGCAGGGGTTTGATAGTGCATGTAGGAAGACCTGCCAGTAGAGACATCACAAGAGCCTGTACCAGGAGCTGTGTAGTTCTGACAGGTAAGGTCTGATCTTCCTGATGTTGTTCAGGGCAAATCCACATGACCGGGCAATCGAGGCTACTTGAACCTTAAAAGTTAGCTGGTCATCAATCATGACACCCAGGTTCCTGCAGACTTTGTGGGCATGAGTTTGGTTGTTCCAAGCTGGATATTGATCTGTGGTTGCATAGAGGGACTGGCTGGGATGACAAGGAGCTCAGTCTTTGAAAGATTGAGTTGAAGGTGCCGTTCATTCATCCATTCAGAGATATCAGCAAGGCATGATGAGATTCTTGCAGAGACTGTAACATCGTCTGGCGGGTTTGACAGGAAGAGCTGGGTATCGTCAGCATAGCAGTGGTATGAGAAGCCATGAGAGCTGATTATTCTGTATATGGAGAAGAGAAGGGGACCAAGCACTGACCCTTGAGGTACCCCTGCGGATAAGCTGTGCGCTTTGGACACTTCTCCCTTCCACGACACTCTAAAGGATCGCCCAGAGAGGTAGGACACGAACCAGCAGAGGGCAGATCCTGAGATGTTCAGAGAGCGTGGACAGGAGGATTTGATGGTTGACTGTGTCAAAGGCAGCAGACAGGTCTAGTAGTAATAGAACTGAGGACTGACCCGCAGCTCTGGCAGCTCGTAGTGATTCTGTTACTGACAGGGTTAGAGTTAGTGCAGTTTCAGGAGAGTGGCCCCGCTTAAAGCCTGACTGATTTGGGTCAAACAGATCGTTTCTGGACAGGAACTCAGAGACTTGCTTAAAGACTGTGTGCTCAAGTATTTTTGACAGAAAGGGCAGAAGAGAAACCGGTCTGTAGTTTTCAACCTGGGCTGGGTTTAGTGTGGGTTTTTTGAGCAGAGGGGTGACCCGAGCTTGCTTGAATGCGGTGGGGAACACACCCGTTGACAGAGAGGAGTTGATGATATGCTTAAGTGCAGCATTAAGCAGAGAGGAAATGGTCTGCGGGAGGCTTGATGGTATTGGGTCCAGAGGACAGGTGGTGGGCCGAGAGTCTAGCACAAGCTTAGAGACTTCATCCTCAGAGAGGAGAATGAGTCGAGTGAGGCACTTTTGGTTGGTGCCTTTGGGCTGAGCTGGTCAGGCTCAGAAAACTGGTTACTGATGGTTGCAACCTTTTCAGTAAAATACGAGGCAAACATGTCTGGTGTGAACAAATCGGAGGGTGGAGGAGGAGATGGTTGAAGCAGTGAGTTAAAAGCAGAAAACATTTTTCTTGTATCTGTATCTCTAGCATTGCATATCTTGTTCTGATAATATGTTGTCTTGGCCGTTTTCAGGCTGGAGGAGAATGATCTGACAATATCAGACTCGCTCTCTCGTCTGCCTTTTCATTGATCATCCTGTAAACTGTGTTGCCTCAGTTACTAGTCTGACTTTCAAACTGAGGCCTGCTCTCCTTGTGTGTGTGTGTGTGTGTGTGTGTGTGTGTGTGTGTGTGTGTGTGTGTGTGTGTGTGTATATAATGTATGTGTTTGTGTATGTGTGTGTGTGTGTGTGTGTGTGTATAATGTATGTGTTTGTGTATGTGTGTGTGTGTGTGTGTGTGTGTGTGTGTGTGTATAATGTATGTGTTTGAGTATGTGTGTGTGTGTGTGTGTGTGTGTATAATGTATGTGTTTGTGTATGTGTGTGTGTGTGTGTGTGTGTATATGTGTGTGTGCCGCACATGTCGTAAACAGTACCACATGTATGTGCGTGTGCTGGGAGGGGATTTCTTCACAGCTGGATCATGTTTGGTTTCTAAAAGCAGAACTCCTCTTTTCCACTGACACACACACACACACACACACACACACACACACACACACACACTTCTGAACACACATGCACACACACACATGCGCACACACACACACACACACACACACACACACACACACACACACACACACACACACACACACACACACACACACACACACACACACATCTGAACACTTGTTTCAGTAAGTTACTTATTTAACAGAGTTTTGATTTTGGAGAATTCTGAGCGTCAACAGAATAAATCCCCCCCATGGACTCTGGACCCTTGTGGGGGTGAAACTGATGACTTAATGAGACCGATGGTATTACCATATATGGACAAGTGCTCATAACCATATATGGACAGGTGCTTATTACCATATATGGACAGGTGCTTATTACCATATATGGACAAGTGCTTATAACCATATATGGACAAGTGCTTATTCCCATATATGGACAAGTGCTTATTCCCATATATGGACA